CAACTCCTCTCTGTTGGTGTCCCCCAAGGTTCAGTCCTTGGTCCCCTACTGTTCTCCATCTATACTGCCTCCCTGGGTAAACTCATCAGCTTCTTTGGCTTCCAATATCATTTTTATGCAGATGACACGTAAATCTACCTGTCCTCTCCTGATCTCTCCCCGTCCCTCTTGACTAGTGTCTCTGACTGCCTCTCTTCTATTTCTAACTGGATGGCTGCCCACTTCCTTAAACTAAACTTGACCAAAACTGAAATTCTGGTCTTTTCTCCCTCAAGTGTTTTTACTCCTGTGTCTGTCTCCCTCCAAGTCAACGGTGCTACCATCATCTCCACCACGCAGGCTCGCTGCCTAGGTGTTCTCTTTGACTCCGATCTCTCCTTCAAGCCTAATGTTCAATCTATCCCCAAATCCTGTCATTTCCATCTCAAAAACATTGCACGCATCCGCCCCTACTTAACGCCAGATGCGACAAAAGTGTTGATCCATTCCACTGTCCTTTCTCGCGTTGACTATTGTGATCCGCTTCTCAGTGGTCTTACGTGCTCCCAACTTGCGCCGTTACAGTCCATAATGAATGCGGCAGTGAGGATCATCTTCCTGTTCGCCCGCAACCTCCCATGCCTCACCCTTCTGTCAGTCCGTACATTGGCTTCCTATAAAATTTAGAGCTCAATTTATAATTCTGGTTCTTGCTTTCAAATCACTACATAATGCAGCTACCACCTATCTATCCTCCCTTATACACAAGTATGTCCCGTCTAGGCCCTTACGATCTGCTGAAGACTTTCTTCTATCTTCTGTCCGTACTCCCACCTCTGATGCTCGCCTTCAAGATTTCTCGAGGGCTGCACCGTTCCTGTGGAACTCACTTCCCTCCTCCGTTAGATGCTCACCCAGTCTCCACTCCTTCAAAAAATCGTTAAAAACCCACTTCTTCATAAAAGCGTATCAATTAAACTGTTAATAGCTCCTGACTGATTCCTCTTCTGCAACTGTCACTTACCTTTTTGTGTTATTTTACCCCACTCCCTCTAGCATGTAAGCTCATTGAGCAGGGCCCTCAACCCCTCAGTTCCTGTGTGTTCAACTTGTCTGGTTACAACTACATGTCTGTTCGTCCACCCATTGTAAAGCGCTGCGGAATTTGATGGCGTTATATAAATATCATAATAATAATAGTATCTGTCTATGTGCCTGTAGATCCAGCCTCAGCATTCTGCCCTTTAAAACTACCAATGCCTTCAATATTACTGCCAGTGATGGAAGCTCAGTATCTGATCTTAAGCTGAAAAGAACATTGCAATATAAAAAACAAATATTATTAAAGCAAGCTGAAATGCGTTAGGGGTCTGGAGTGTCCCATGAATGCAATGAACAAGGAAACTCAGAACTCGTGACATGGTTATTATAGTAATGATGGACTAGACAAGAGGTTGCTCACGCCAAGAGACATAAAAGTGGACATAGGGGACCCCTTGGGGGGTTAAAGAAAGAAGCCTGTAAAAAACTAAAAACCTCTGTAACCTGATACCTATAACTACAAATACAGTGTATTAATACTTACAGATATCTATATATATATATATATATATATATATATATATATTGTACAAAGGTATAACCTCTACAAGCTTAACTTCCACTCTACAAAAACAGCCATACTTAAAAATCTTCAGCTCAGTGACTGGACCAAATACAATGAAAGTGAATTAACATGATCCTGTATAATGGGTCTAGTTTTTGTCATATGTTGCACTAAACCTAGTCCATCAAAATACGGCGAATTGCTCCCTAAGGACTTCAAGAGAGTCCTGGGAACCCCAAAACACATTTTTTTTTATATAAAATTGATGGTTGCGTTTTTGACATCAACACATTTTATATAGAATTTTACCACTAACTATTGCATGTGAAAGGGATGGAACGGTTTGTAATAAGAATTTTCACATGCACAACACATGCACATGCATCTTAAATGTAATGCCAACCAAAACATGCTAACTCTTCTTTTATTTATTTTCAGATGCATCATCCTATTCAGATGAAACCTGCAGACAGTGAAAAGTCCAACGGTAAGTGACATGTTCTACTGGTCCTCAAACAAACCATGCCCGTATATCGATTGGATTTGATACCGATGCACTGAAATACATATATTGCTTGTCATTTTAAGTTGTTTTATTAATTTTCATAATTTTTTTAATATACTTTCTCAACGATGAAATAAATTATTACATGAACAACACTTTTAATCACTTAAAATATGTATTTTAAAGTACTAACAGTACACAGTAGATGGGATTGAATCGGATGCAAACGCTGAAGCTCTTCTCTACAACATTTAAGAAAGATTTCATGAGATTTGCATGTCATGCCATATAATTTATTTTACCTTCAGCTTAATATGCATTTCACTGAATCTAGAATGACTCTTTAAAAAGGGTGAAATATCTGTTGTGGACTGTACCTTTAATGACAGTGATCTTCCTTCTAAAGTTGAAAGTCCGTGCATAATGTTCGCAAAGGACTGAAACTGAAGAATGAAAGAGAATGCATTCAAATCAAAGCAGTATTTACTGTGCATGAAAAAATAAGCTTAACCTCACTGGGTATTTCTGCTGCTGGATCCACAATCCTAGTTTGCAAATTTATTTTCTTATATGTTTTTTTGACCTTGGTCTTTATTATACATCTATAGACATGTGTACTTTTTATATAATATTATAATGCTAAATAGCATACCTATCACTGTGTATGCAGTCTAAGTGAAATATTTTAGTTAACGCTTACAAGCTTGTGGTACATTTTTGTCTCTTTCTTAGAAATCTCAATGCTAGGCACTTTATTATTATTATATCTGTGAATCTTGAGTGAGTGAAATATTTATAGGCAATCTGTAGACTATAACGCAGGGGAACTGAATTTGGATTTATAGTACATAGCTAAAGATACACTGTAGAAGTTGTAACTGCTTCATCTCATTGAAGTAGTTATAGTGCGCCCTCCTTCTATTCAGCATTAAACTGTTTCTAATGTTTCAAGGCTAAACAGAAGTCCAGATCAGGAATATTAGCCTGTGCAGCAATGGTTGGATGTGATTGGTTGAGAATTTCAGTCTATCACAGCTGTTATTGCTGGTATGGCACCAGAGAACCTCATAAATTATACCAATTCGATGACATTAAATCATTATAGCTCCTACAGCGTACCTAGGTCAGTTTTATCAGTTCAATGATAAAGTTATTTAGCCTTACCCTTGTTTCTTGGAAAGTGAGTCACATATCCCTCAGGCACACGATGTTAAAATGATTCAAAAAGAATGATTAAGCCGCGATATTAAAAGGATACTATAGTGCCAGGAATACAAATACAATGAGCTGAAGTGGTCTCTGTGCCTATAGTGTCCCTTTAAAAGAATGAGACAGAGGCAGTTGATGGGTAACAAACGTACACACAACAATATGGAGGTAAAAGCTATTTTTGAATTGTAGATGTAAAAATTAGTACATGAGTTCTAGTGAACATTTGAATCATTTTCAGTTTAGCGACACAAGAATTTTGTTTCCTACGGGTACTTACGGTCATGACTGTCTACTTCTAAAAGATATTTCTCAGCCTCATTAATTAGCAACTAAGACTTTTAAAGACCTGCTTATCTCCAAATGTAAATCATGAATGGCCTAAAACTCCCAGCGAGCTTTCTTTTTCACATTTAGATTTTCTAGTTTTATAGATTTCTTTATGGACTATGTCTTCTAATAGTACAAACACACAAAGAAAAACAATTATTCTAAAAGGGCAGGGTAAATTAGTTCTGTTTTAACATTAGTAAAAGTGTGCACTGCAATAAATCTCTTCAACATTTACTGAAGTTTAGGGAAAAAAAGAAACATAATTAACAATTTTGTTAGTAAAAAGTAACATATTAGTCTATATATTAACCACACAGAGTGGAACATTTGTTTCTTATTTCTAACTTGGTCTTAACTTTTCCTTGAAGCTGTGTTGAATGTCTCTAGTTAATACAGGGTTATTCATTAAAGTGAGAATTCAAAGTAATTGCCACATGAATTTTAAATGTAAGGTCAAAATATCCAATCTGGAAACATTATCTAAGGAGGTATGCTTTCAGATTGGCTACTCTGGTCTTAAATTTGAAATTCTGTTTCAAAGCACTTAAATATGGTTCATCATATCTATAATGTAAGTGCTGGTGCTACTTCGTATGCATCCCTTCATGTTTCACACTATTCACGTATTCATCTCCCTAGACCAAGCTTCTCCAAACTCTGTCTCTCTAGATGTTCCTGAACTTCAACTCCAGTGATTTTCTACCTATCTATTTCATTGAAAGACTCATGGGAGTCATAGTTCAGCAACATTTGGAGGGACAGAATTTGAAGAACCATGTTGTAGACTAGAGCAATAGCACTTATTCTGGGCATTAGTTTATTTTCCTAAGCTTCCATGTGACAGAAATCTATTCTAAATTGCTTGAAGACAATGTGAGCTCACTAGTATTATTCAGTCATATGAAAGACGTTTGCAGTGCCTTGAGTAAGCTACTTGCAGTAGCCTTTTAATTAAATATCAATCATGGTTTTCATGGAAAAACAAAGTAAATAAGGATTAACTTTTTTTAAGCTTTATTTCTTAATACTATATAACATTTTACTAAGCTCTCTAAAAAAAAAAAAAACAGTTAGATCTGCCCCGTCATAACATCCCAGTTCAGATGAATGGACTTCAAGTAAGCATAAGCCAGGGATGTACAAAAGGTATATCCCATTGTACTTCAGGATATTAGGACAACAACTGATGTGCTGCTCTAAAGGCTGGCACCATGGGAGGTTTAGTTCTACAATATATGTTCATCTACCCTGACATAAATTAATACATTTCTCTAATGTTTTCAATAGTGATGTCGCGAACCGTTCGCGAACTTGCCGCGAACGGTTCGCCACGGTTCGCCACGAACCGTTCGCGGTGAACTCCGGTCATTGACACATCCCTGCCAATCTCCGGCAGACCCTCCCTCCCAGACCCTCCCACCTCCTGGACAGCATCCATGTTGAAGCTGCCTTCAACATGGATGCTGTCCAGGAAGTAGGAGGGTCTGGGAGGGAGGGTCTGCCGGAGATTGGCAGGGCTGTGTCAGCTGACCGGAGTTCGCCAGGAACGATTCGCCACGAACCGTTCGCGGCAAGTTCGCGAACGGTTCGCAACATCACTAGTTTTCAAATGCTCTTCAAACAAACTCAAGGAAAAACACAGCATATTTACACTGAACAAAATTATAAACGCTAGACTTTTGTTTTTGCACCCATTTTTCAAAGATCTAAGACTTTTTCTATGTACACAAAAGGCCTATTTCTCTTAAATATTGTTCACAAATCTGGCTAAATCTGTGTTAGTGAGCACTTCTCCTTTGTCGAGATAATCCATCCACCTCACAGGTGTGGCATATCAATATGCTAATTAGACAACATGATTATTGCACAGGTGTGCCTTAGGCTGGCCACAATAAAAGGCCACTCTAAAATGTGCAGTTTTATCACACAGCACAATGCCACAGATGTCGTAAGTTTAGAGGTAGCGTGCAAATGACATACTGACTGCAGGAATGTCCACCAGAGCTGTTGCCCGTGAATTGAATGTTCCTTTCTCTACCATAAGCGGTCTCCAAAGGCATTTCAGAGACCTCTGTTACACGACCTCACAACTGCAGACTACGTGAAACCACACCAGCCCAGGACCTCCACATCCAGCATCTTCAGCTCCAAGATCGATAGAAATCAGCCACCCGGACAGCTGCTGCAACAATCGGTATGCATAACCAAAGAATTTCTCCACAAACTGTCAGAAGCTCAACTGGATGCTTGTCGTCCTCATCGGAGTTGCGACCTGACTGCAGTTCGTCGTTGTAGCCGACTTGAATGGGCAAATGCTCACATTCAATGGCGTATGGCACTTTGGAGAGGTGTTCTGTTCACGAATGAATCCCAGTTTTCACTGTACAAAGCAGATGGCAGACAGCGTGTATGGTGTCGTGTGGGTGAGAGGTTTGCTGATGTCAACTTTGTGGATCGAGTGCCCTATGGTGGCAGTGGGGATATGGTATGGGCAGGCATATGTTATGGACAATGAACACAGGTGCATTAAAATGATGGCATTTTGAATGCACAGAGATACTGTGACAAGATGCTGAGGCCCATTGTTGTGTTATTCATCCACGACCATCACCTCATGTTGCAGCATGATAATGCATGGCCCCATGTTGCAAGGATCTGTACACAACTCCTGGAAGCTGAAGACAACACTGTTCTTTCATGGCAAGCATACTCACCGGACATGTCACCCATTGAGCATGTTTGAGATGCTCTGTATCGGCATATACGACAGCGTGTTCCAGGTCCTGCCAATATCCAGCAACTTCGCACAGCCATAGAAGAGGAGTGGACCAACATTCCACAGGCCACAATCAACAACCTGGACCGGACCCCCCAATACAGTAAAACTGCATATTTTAGAGTGGCCGTTTATTGTGGCCACCCTAAGGCACACCTGTGCAATAATCATGCTGTCTAATCAGCATCTTGATATGCCACACCTGTGAGGTGGATGGATTATCTTGGCAAAGGAGAAGTGCTCACTAACACAGATGTAGCCAGATTTGTGAAAAATATTTAAGAGAAATAGGTGTTTTGTGTACTTAGCAAAAGTCTTAGATCTTTGAGTTTGGCTAATGAAAAATGGGGGCAAAAACAAAAGTGTTGCGTTTATAATTTTGTTCAGTGTAGTTTCTGAAAAATACCTCCTGTATCCATAAAGTCTAACTTCTGCGACAGAACACGTTCATTGCTTTAAATAATATTGTGAGCATGTGGAAAGAACACTTAGAGACTTTTAAATGTGATATGTGTTGGCTGAAAGCCTGCTGCCACCCATATACACAGCATTTCCTCAGCTCTTCCCACAGCTCCATAAACACCACAGATTGGAGCTTTAATTGAGCATTTGCTTCCTCTCCCACTCAATCTCTGTCATGTACTTCACAGAGAAAATCATATCCTGGGTTTTGAACTGCCTGTGGGCTTGTATCCTAAATTGTATAAATAAATTATAGTCTTTTGTATTTACAATGCTACTTACATCTAAGTACATTTAAGACTTCATAGTAAAATAACAGTAGCCACCTGTTTGCTGTCAAGGGACACAAATCTGTCTCTTTAATTATGAAATTTTAATCGACTTATTATAACATCAGTGGTGCATTGAACATTTTGAAAGCTCAAATGTAAATAGCATTTACGAAGCGTACAAACTGGACCCAAGATGGATTTCATGACATGTCGGTGAATCAAAATTGCAATCAGAAATCTAACATCCTATAAAATTTCTCTATAGTGAAGAACTTCCCTTTATGCTGTTATTTAAAAAGATATATATTTTTAGGTTGAATAATTGGTGTTTATGTTATTCTTCATATATGGGGTATATGTTCATGATGGGGTACTTATTTCTTCAGAAGCACTTTCCTAAGCGTGCAATAAATTTTTATAAACATGCAGTTGACATTAAAGGGTTACTTCAATAGCCATGACCCCTTCAGCTTTTAGAAGTGGTCATGGTAGTAGGAGTCTGTATGCGCAGCGTGTCTCAAAGGCAACACTGGGAGCTTTGTTCGGCCCTGAATTTCAGTTAAGTTTAACTCTTTACTGTTACTTTTATGCCTGGGGCATTATAAATCTAAATATAGGATATGAGAAAAAGGTTTAGAGTAACCCTTTAAGGATACAATAAAAAGTGTTTAAGTAATGGTTCTCATTAGCGAGAGGTTTTGGGAAACTCTGCTGTAGCGAGATTGTTGTTTCTGACATTTTTCACAAGCAATACAAGTGCATTATGATGAAAATAAAAGTAACATAATTACATTTTCCTGAACTCATAGTATCTTTAAAAGTGGCCTGTGACACATACAGGGTTATTAACTAAACTTGAGAATTCAAAGTGAATTTCAAAAGTAACCGAAATGGAAATATGACTGACTCACTTCATTTGCCCTTAAGTTTGAAGTTCACTGTGAATTCTAAGCAAATATTCTTGGCAAATAACTCTGTATCTCTAATCTCATACGTAGACACTTTTATTTGTTGAAGTACGCAGAGTGCAGGCCAAAGTGCTGAACTGGAAGCATATCTGACTTAGAGAATGTTTCTAGGTTGGCAATTACACCTTTGAAATTCACTTTAAATTTTGTCTGGGTTATTCACCTAAGTGAGAATTCAAAGTGAATTTAAAGTGAAATTCAAATTTAAGGTCAAAATACCCAAACTAGAAAAATTATCTGTCAGCTATGCTTTCAGTTTGGCTACTTTGGCCTTAAATTTGAAATTAACTTTGAATTCTCCCTTTAGTAAATAACTCTGTTTGTGTAAAACCAATTGTGAGGTCAGTTTTAGGGTAAAGTTACATGCAGGGTTATTCAAAAACATGTCAATTGCTGGGAATGCAAAGTGGATTCATACAGGGCAATTCACTAAGCTTCAAATTATAGTTAATTTACTGGGTTGACTAATGCAGAAAATAGAGAGATATCAATTCTCAGGGTTATTTATTAGCATGAATTGCCAGCTTTAGTGTAAAGTCTCTGCTGTGTGAAATAACAGACCAGGTTAGACTGTATTTAAAATAAACGCGATTTAGGAATCTTAGTGTTTTATGTTTAGTTGTCTTGGTTTTACGTTCATAATAAGTGGCATGGTAAACACGTAGATTATACAGAATGGTCAGTTGGGTTTTTGCATTTAAAAATCAGTCATGAAAACTTTTATAAGACTCAGTACATTATATCTAGAGATTTTTTTTTTTTTACAAGGTTCACGTTTTCTCCAGTAGGAAATCAGAAAGAAGTTAATTAGAGCAGGGTTTCTCTGAGAAATGCTTAGTGAAGCAGAGATGTCAAACGCCAAGAACCACAATCGGCGAATTTTGGGGACGGTAGACCAGAAATGGCATTTTAATGTAAAAAATTGATTTTAATCAGGAAGAATCTGCTGAAGAGCGAACATCTGGTCAAATGATTAGCTTCTTGTTTTATGAATACGGAGGAATACATACTAACTGATTCCTTGTTAAAGAGCATTTGTGCCCAAAGTGCACCTCTGTTTTTACATTGTTAGCAGCAATCTCGTAATAGCTTTTGTTATAAGGAATGGCCATCCAAGATCAGAATACTCTTTACAAGGTGTTTGACAGTTTGTAATAACATTTGGCAGGCATGATATGTACTTCCTTAGAATCCTTAGAATCATCATAAATGTAAGATCTTCTGGTATGTATTCATTTTCATATTTATTTAATGTATTTATAGATCTATCCAAAGCAAATCAAAAACTAACTAAAAACATGGAGAAGATTCAAACTCATAAGGTTAAATAACATAAAAATGTCACCAAGATGAGCATGTGATCTGTTTATGAAAAACTAATAATAAGTGGAGGGGGAGATGGACTGTCAACATGATAGGCAATCAAGAATTAATAGGTTATTATTTCACTGCAAAGGTCTTTTGGAGAGGACTTCCTAATTCATTCATTTTATCTGAGTTCTAAAACTAAGAGAAAATTACCTTGGACTTTTCAAATGCAGAAAGTGTTATTATTGAGATTGGAATGATATTTCTTGATCTACTATGTATAACCCCTTGCTATATCACATATATTATAATGATACAGACTGTGAAATTAGGAAGTCATACCTCTATATTTGTAAATAACTCCTAAGTAAATATGGGACACATCCATAGAAAAAAACAAAAGTAGCCTAAGAGTGTGTGTGTGTGTGTGTGTCAGTGTGTCTGCATGTGTCAGTATGTCTATGTGTGTGTGTGTGTGTGTGTCAGTATGTCTGTGTGTGTCAGTATATCTCTCTGTGTGTGTGTCAGTATGTCTGTGTGTGTCAGTATATCTGTGTGTGTGTGTGTGTCAGTATGTCTGTGTGTCAGTATATCTGTGTATGTCAGTATGTTTGTGTGTGTGTATCAGTATGTCTGTGTGTGTTTGTATGTCTGTGTGTGTCAGTATGTGTGTGTGTTTTCCAGTATGTGTGTGTAAGCCAGTATGCCTGTATGTGTGTGTGTGTGTGTGTGTGTGTGTC